CAAAGCAGCTCTAGACACCTTGAGTTTCATGACTTGCTGGCCACTGGCCTGCCACCTAACGCTGCGTCGTCCGTGTCAGCACACGTGAGGGCCAGAAGCGAACAGCTTTTTTTCGTTTCCTCATTGTCTGCTTCCCACGTAGTTATACCGTGAAGGGCGTCTGGCACTCGGTCCTATCAGCCGTCGCTGGCGTTACTCTCTCGACGAGCAGTGCTGTCTTTCGGGGTTGGGGGAAGTCTGTAAAGCTTCTCCTCCGGTGACTCTGCTGTGTAGCTGTCCGGCTGAGCTGAGGTGGGCCAGCAGTGAGCACGGCGTAACAGTTGTAGGTGACAGGCGACCAGTGGCAGCGCGTCTCAGGCCAGTGCGATATGATAACGACTCATGTTTATATTGGAACAGTCACAGCGGACCGATCACACTGTTAGAGGCCCAGGAGCTCCATAGCTTTTTCCTCACGCAGCAGTATTTTGTTAGTTATACTGCACATAGTTTCGTTTTTCGTCGATACCACCCTTGTGACGTTGCTGGCAATATCGAAGTGTGCCTTGCCCTCGGTCCCTTCTTAACTTCGGCGCCTAATGCCGCTGTTAGTTGGATACGAGACACGACTGAGCAGCTGCATAGGTGAGCGCAAAGCTCAGTTACTTACTGCAACGATATTGTTTGTTGACGAGATTATCCAGCTGGCCCGTCTAGTTGAACGTTGCGAACGTAAATAGAAATGTTCGCTGTTTGGTTTTTGTACTTGATCCTCGAACGGCCTGTAGAACGGCCTTTTCTGACGAACTCATTAAATGAGAGTGCGCTTTATATGACTATTGATAAATTCCAATGGTGTATCGACATGTTATTTAGTATGTTTTTAGAGACCGGGCAGCAAGGATGCTTCATTGAATAGGTAGCGCCACATTTGTGTTTGATAATATACTTTGACATAAGAGAGCCGACTCACGAAAGTACAGCCTTAGACAGCACGGATTTATTAGCAGACCACTGACTGAGTATAGATAACTCGTCATTCTTTTCATAGTGCAGTAAAAACACAATCTCATTACGCAACTAGTTGGATAATTTTACAATTTTCAATTTCATTTTTATGTGTAATCTATGTTTGTCAACGCTGAAATATCTTCGACCATACCGTTTGTTACATTTTTACTTCAATTTTCTGTTAGTGTTTAAACTGCGTTGAACAAATGCAACATATTTGCAGTCAATATAGTCGGGTGCTGATAGTCGTGTGCTTTAGGAGGGTCGGCCACTCACACAGGTATCACGAGCATTTTCAGTCACTTTCTCGAAATTCATTTTCGAGTTCAAAATCTCCTACTTGGGGTTTTGCAAGCCAATGACTTACGATGCTCTTAATAGCAATTTGTTTGCGGAATACGAGGTTTGCATTGCGAGTTCTATCCGTCGCTGTATTTTGCTTCACTGCGACTCATCGGCTAAAAACCTGAGCAACGATATCGGAGCGAACTCTATCTGTCTGAGCCCAAACGCTACAGGAGCGCTTCGAACGCAGAAAAAAAGTCCCAGATAGTCGCATCGTTTTAAGATCACGCAATTTTGAACTGTGTTATTAACGTTTGGTGCATTTTATACCGAATGACGTAACAAAAACAAGCACTCTTGCCGATAACAGTTTCCAAACGCTCAAACGGGCGATTTCAAGGCTGAGTAAACTTTTACGTTAGAAGTTATTCAACTGCGACGTTATTCGTTAAGCGTTCGTACGTCCCTTTCCATATGGTACAGAGGACTCCTTGGCGAAACGGTGACGCCATGATCAAGAATCAGGCCTAATAATAAACATTTGATTTAATTTATTCGCTCACAGATCGTTAAGGCTATGTGATTAGAAATTTAAAGGTGAGCATAGTAGTGGTTAGTAGGTAGGTAACCTTAGTGGGTAGTGGGCCTAGTGCACATTTTGTTGTCGCGCGTTCAGGATGGCCCAAAAAAGGACAAGGTTTAAAACATGTAGATTGAATGTCGGTGACGATCAATTATGTACTTTATCGTCACAATAAGCATAACACAACAAAGAACTGACGGCGCTGGGTAGAACTGTGCGTTTTCTACTCCCAAAGTCTAAGTCATCGTCCCCTTGAGTTACGGCCGTACCATTAGGTTAATCTATTTCGGAGGCAGAACGTGGAATCCATAGCAGACTTCTTGTCTGGTGAGGCTCCTGCCTGTGGTACGTCACCAAGGGCCGCCGATTTTCGGTTCCATTAACGCTACTTACAAACGCTTCAGGCTTAGAAGTGAAAAATCGATAGTCTCACCGTGATGACATTTGGGCCAGTCTCGGTTCTCATTTTGACTGAATAATGGCTTGCAATTGTCAGCCTTTAAGGGATTGCTAAACCCGGATATAAGAAGGTATTAAATTGATAAAACAAGGCAATCAAATAAAAAAGACGGATAGTCTTCACTTGTCTTGTGTAGAACAAATCGATTATGCTTAGAATATGTTACACCAAACTTAGATGCCTATTTATGTCCTAGTAATAGTATCTTCTGAAAATGCGAGGAAGCAGTCCCTTTAGCTCGTATGTAGCTCGTAGCTTTAGCTTGTATGTAAGTAAACAACGCCCTCATAGACGATGCATATCGAGCTCGTCCGGGCTTTAACTTTCTTGTAGCTTCAATTTGATGTGCCCTCACTAGCGCTACAGTTCCTACATTCAGTAGCGCTACATTTAATCAATAGTTTTGCGTCCAGCACTTCACTCGTTAAGCATTACTCCAGATAGTGTATTCCTAACAGCATGAAGTAAAGAGAACGTTACCCACTAGACTACTACCGAGAATGATTACTTGCCTAATTGCTGTTTCGTAGAATTGTTTGATATTCAGTGATTTTTTCAAGTGTGGCCAATTTTAAATGAAGGCCCGGAGGTTCCGTCGTTGATATCCAAAATCACGCCATTTTATCGCTAGAGTGAATTCCTTTGGGAGTCACGTTATGCTCACATAACGCGCAAACGTGTCTGCGCTATAAACGTAAAATGTGCACCCAACAGCGGATGCTACACTCATAAGGTGACACGCGTATAACTGAAGTCGGAGTCAATACGTTTTCCCGTAGATGGAACGATTAAAAGTAAAATAAAAAAAAAAAAGAAGTAAAATCATGTCTGTAACCTTGTTTATCACGTTTGTTTACTCATAATAATGAAAAGGTTGCAACTATATGTGTGTAATATCATTGATGCTGATAAATATATATCAGTTAGTACAAAGTAGTTGGATCATCAATAGCTACTCAAACGAACAACGTAGACCCTTGAATTTTTTTATGCTTCTGATGATTGCCCACAGACCTTTGTTTTTAAATAGGAAAATGATAAGGCGATCATAATGATATAGATGCGCTGAGACCTACGTGCTTTATGTATGCAGGTATAACGCACGTTAAAGCTGTTGCGACTGCACTAAAGACATCGTCTGCTGTTCCAGTCCGACAATGAAACAAGATAACGTATAGAAATTAGAACTCACAAAGAGTGAACACTTCCGCCGCTTTCTGTCATGCTATCGAGGACCTGTGGCATCGTCCATTAGCGGAACTAGACTTTTCCAGCGAATGACTCGAGAGAAAAGATACAAAGAAACTCATTTATCTTTATAGAATATTTGCTCTCTAGCCAATGGTCATTGACCACGGTATTATCACCAGGCGTAGCAAACGCAAGACAATATCTGTCCGCTCAGCAACGACGTTTAGGCTGAAAAAACTGTGCCACTTCTGGCCACCGTAAAGTAGAAGTGAGCAGTAGAGCGCCATAAGAAGCGGGCTGTGAGCAGAGAACGGAAAGATAAATTGACGTTTCAGAGAGACACACTCGGAAGTACTCGCCGTCCATCTGCTTTTCAAGCAGAATGATCGAGTTCCGGCCTAGTACATGCAAATGTATGTAACTTGAAACAACAAAGAGAAAAACGAACAGTTTCGCGTATAAAAGGCCAGAATTGCATATAAATATTTGACAAGAAACATTTGTTTTGTGTTGTTTTATTAACAACATAGAGTATATTAAAGGATATTGAAGAAGAGCGCGATTACAAATACTACAAACACTTGAATAGATATGTTGCATGCCGTTGCTTATTAAAACTACACAAACAAATAATAATTGTTCCTATTGTCTTAATGCTATGTCATCTGGCCCAAGTCTCTTGGTCCTTCTCGCATCACTGTACTATGTAACCCCGACGCTGCTAAACATTAAAAACTATAGGTAATCTTTTTCGCACGTATTCTTCTCTAAAAAAAAGGTGAAGGTAACCTGTAGCACGGCAAAAACGTTGCCTGGAGCTTCTTTCACCATCAGATTCTTCCATGCCCCGCCTAAAGCCAACAGCACCGCTGGCTGAAGCTTGGCAATTTTGGGAAGCTTGGAATTACGTTTTCAACGAAAGTACAGAGTCGCTAAAAACGGAGTCCAACTGGAATACATAACTATAGGAGGATTAGTATAGTAAAAAGGTTAAAATTTGCTTTGACTAAAAGTGACAAATAATGGAGGTAATACTGAAATACATCAAGGCTGTCAATATGCATCTATCTTATACGAAAAAGCCCAAATATTCGTCTACGATAGATTGGGTTCTGGTTGAAATGTGGGTGATCATAATATACACGAATCGTTTGACTGTTTATCTGTTTTAGTACACGCTAGTTGTCATACTTGGCCATAATTTTTGCCAATAATTGCCAACTGGGCACGCAAATTAAGAAGTATGCGACCTGAATCGATACGTATGTAACACAGCGCGCGATTTGTCTAAGGCAGGTTTAAAAATATTGATTATAGCAACGATTTTGCAATTAGGTATGGAAGGTTAACTTTTGTAGCGGCCTGTGCAACGAATAGACACATCATAACGATAACTGTCCAGCTCATTCTATATTTAAATGCAGCAACTGTCAGGCTTCAATGATTTTTTTGTGTCACACTGATAAAGCACTGAAACTCATAAAATATTTTAGAGACTGGAGTTCCATCATTTATTTTGTGTTTATACCGGTACCGTTCATAGCACACTTTCACTGCTAGATTGTAGGGTTAAGAATTTGGGGAGGCGTTATTAAAGGGCAACTCATTTCCCTCTAAAACGTGAGCTTTGCACTATCTTGCAACCGGAAGTATTATGTTTGCCCGGCCCTATGGGTATCCGCAGGTCCTCATTATCCTGTAAGACAAAGTTTTTTAGTTAAGCATGATTCTACAAAAGTCGTAACCTTCAAGCCAAACTCAGTCTATGCGGGTGCGTCTGGTCAACCCGGCAGGCTTGCTATTAACTTGAAAGGTGGTCTGCTACTGACCTCTGAACACAAGCAAAAACAGAACGCCTAGGATCCATAAAGCTTGTATAAGTTCGAGTTTTATTCATTTATTACGCTAGTTGTTAAATACAAGATGATTTATTATTACAGATGTAAATATTTTGTAAGCCTTTGGTTGATATTCGATTTATTTGGTGTGTACGTATCACAATATCCTGTGACTTTTTGTTTAGATATGAAGTTGTATTCTAGAATATATATTTCATTTCTTTTATCGATTTCCTCTAATCACTTGGATTTCTTCTATCGAATATATAAAAATAATCTAGTGTGCATAATTTTATAAAGCTGGATTAAATCTTTTGCGGGTCGTGCTGTTTTCGTACATAATTGTTGTTCGCTAATAAAATTAAAAAATATACAACAATGTGACCGCAGGTCAGAATAAATTGCGGTATTATATCCGGTACGAGTATGTACAAAGGTCTAGTCAAGTGTAGATACACTTAGGCTATATAAAAATCCTTTTATTTGTTTAGAAGAACGAATTCCGCCTCACAAGCGACAACAATAACGTATAAGTTCATCTTAACGACGGCGGCAATGTCTGTGAAGTTTGCAGACGCCTGAATGTGAATGGCACGCTGCAAGAAAGCATTTACTCCTTCTCACTACCAAAGAAGCTAATCTGCCCTTTAATAAATTATGCAGTGACGTGCGACGCCACAGCTTCACGTTTACGCCACAGAGTTATTCAGCTTTGTCCTGCTATAAAAGGACGAGAGCGGCAAATAGTGACATGTGTCATTTAAGCGACTGGGAAACGAGCTGTGTGTTGGGAAGAGCTCTTTCCCACCCAGCAATATGGCCACATATATATGTATGCATTACAACAAATAACAAATATTTATATTAATTAGGATGACTGAAGTCTGCCTTTATAGCAGATTCGTGGCGTAAGTCAAGCCAAAGCTTTCACTAGTTAATATAAATACGAATCTCGCGGTTGGTGGACCGCGAAATGGTCATTTTCCAAAGCGGAAACCAACGAATGTGTTACAAATATTTAGTTTATATACAGCTCAATACAGAATGGGGTGATATATATATATATATATATATACTGCAGTACAAACGCGTACACAAGTTCCTTAAGGGGAAAGTGAAATCGATCGCGGAACAACAACGATCAAGGGTTACAATTTAACAAACTGGTTTACTATGTTTACAATCATTCAGGTGTAACGTTAACCATACTCCGCATTGCTAGGATAGAATTGATGGCTATATGCCATTTGTAAACAACTGAGTCTAGCTGAAGGGCTATTGTTTACAGTACAAACGTGCAAGATGTCGATGACCCAGACCGGCATGGAGTTGCACAAGACGAGCTGAAGCCTGTACAGCTGTACACATCTAGAACCCGGCTGCTAATATTGGGGTGGGATCTAGTCTTTGCATAACCTGTTACTTATGCCTGAGTCACTTTTGCCTACCAAATCCTGTAGGCGTCACTAGCATCACAGGGAACATGTCCATGAACTTTTAAGTTAACCTTAGTGAAGGGAGTGGATGAATAAAATTGTGCGACACTACTTGCGGTGTGCAGGGCTCTTGTTAATCGTAATCATATCGATGAGCTCAAGGTTAACAGTACCCTGCCAGTAATATTAAGTTAGTGACGAAGGAGATATCTGTCGGAAAAGGTACCAATATACGGGAGCTTCGCTGACATAAAGATGAACTTTGACCAAGCACAATGAGGAAATGTTTTCAAGTCGTTATAGATTATGAATTTAAATCGTATTTGGAAGCGACTTTTTTTTTAAAATAGGAATCCATGTGGAAATAAGTAATGGCGAAACCGAATTCGCCAAACATTAGACATATTACAAAGTGGCGGTATATTATTAGAGCTTTTTTTTGTCTGGTCGTCTTTTTTTGACTAAAAAGAGCCACGACAAACATGTAACCCCTTATGTGTAGGAGTAACAGACATTAGTCTCTCGGCTCACTTTTTCTCTGGTGTTAAATTAGCGGCGACGGTTAGCAATGATCAGAATTTGAGGCTCAAATAAGTTGAACGTTATTAAGACGATCAGGGTTTAATTTTTGTTTGTTCCACGACGAAATATCTCGAAATGAATCAATAAAAAATTAGATGTTACAAAACGTAACTTATCAAGGACTGCATTGGCTTTCCCATAAACAGCTCAAATGCCCCTACATTGTAACTGGTAGGGCAATATGCATCTAGTAAGGATTTAAGACCTATGTGTCATGAATTTCAAGCAGATATATGAAATAGATGCGAAGATTACAATGCAAACGAGATCCTCGCTTGTTTTGTTTATGAGAACTAGACTAGTAAATCTGCGTTATAAATCAGTCGTGAACAACATCAAAATGTCGTGTGGCAACGGAATACATTCTAACATATAAGAATTTTAAAGAAGATGATCGTATATGACACAGAATGTATCAAACAAAATCAAGAATCAGATTCGGCTAGCAGCGCTGCACTTTTGCGGTGGGCGTCAACAACTTTTAAATACTATAAATTAGAATATGATAGGAATATTTTTGCGGTGGCAATGAGCACAGTAATAAATTGTTTTCATAAACATTTTAATCAGACATTTGACTAGCTATAAACTTTATGCTTCAGGAATATGCCATCTGGGTAACATAAACTCGAAACAATCCATGTATAAGACGGTTGTCTCACAGCTATCAATAGGAGGTACTCGTTGGACGATTATAGCCGATTTTGTTTATAAAACAGACTACTTTGCTTTACAGTAGCGATTAAAGGGTTGGTTGTCGGCATACAAAATACTGGCACCCCTTATCAACTGATTTTCTTTGTGTTCGGCTCGATTTCTGTTGCGAGGTCTGGCGTCCAGTCGAGGGACAAGTGCATTTGTTATCAGCATGCGAACCGCTGAGAGCTATCGGCAGCTTCGGTTGTTTATAGTTGAGTGCGTCTGGAATGGGGTCGCCGGGGCAAAGGCAAAACGTAGGGTATGCAGAAAAGCATTGTACTTGCAGATAGACAGTCATCCAGTGAGGATAGAAGTAACAGTAGTAGTTGTAGTAAACTCATACCCTGTCGCTCAAAGCAACTTCACAAAAGCAACGACTATGTGGTTGTCCTGCCCCGTGGGAAAACTGGGTGCTTTAAAACTTTGTAGCAGCCCCCGCACTTAGTCGCTGCCTGCGGGGACGACGACGTTGTTTATCGGCAGATCCTTTTCACTATAATATCCAGCATGGAGCAGCATCGCATTATCCATTAGGAGACGGCGATCCTACCTCACGTTTCTTTCTTCCCGTCTTACGAAGGCAATCTACCACCCGAAGTCGTTTCGCCACGATGCATTACACCACATATGTTTGCTGGGGTGCCAAACCACTGGGTGGGGAGTTCTTTGCAGGAAGCAATACACTCGCAGGACAAAGCCAACGAATAGAACGGTAATCTGCAAGGCAATATTCCGCTAAGGGTGTCTCTAACAAACAACTGCAGTGGCCAATACATTTCTAGTACCTCATGAGAAAGCTCAAGCTACGTGCAAACTCAGATGCTGCTACGTGCGTCTTTAATTCGAAGGAATGACTAATCCGCATATTTCTACATTTGCCGGACAAATGAACCATTAGTCAGTTAGATAATACAAGTAATTCGTTCGAAGCGCTGTCTAGCTTTATTCGTGTGAAGTAGGTGGATCGTTTGCTCGAATCTTTGAAAGTGTATTACCCTTGCTGTTTGCACTGTTTCATCATATAGCTTGGCGAGTCCTGCTGCCGTGGAAAAGACTTGCACTTCAGCGTTACTTTTGAGATCCCAGTGATAGATCTTGGGCGAAGCGGTCTCTGTTTTGTAAGTCACACTTGTAACGCTTGGCAACGATACCTGACGTAAAACCCGAAACATCTAAAGGGTTTCATTGACTCAACGACTTTGTGTTCAGAAAGGGACAACTGAATCCAGATCTAATGCATGAAATTGGAACCAAAAATACATCTATGTTTAAGTTTCTAGAGTAATAGCCTGTAAGCCAAGGGGTTCTTTGTCACGACAATTATAATAGTAATAGCGTAGATTACAGGAGTTCTAGCAGTTATTAAATGCATTTAAAGTAGGCGCGTAACTTTACGATCAAACCAAGCAAACCCCATTTTAATCCAAACATCTTCGATAGTAGTGGTATGCAGGTATCCTTGTATAATGAGTATACAACTAGCTCCCCACGATCGTCTAAGCAATAGATCAGTTCGGTATCTCCTACCGTTTTGTGCCTTATCATTATTACTATCAGACTCTGTTGTTCGTCTAAAAAAAACGTCTTGTTTTAAATTTGTCTACCTCTGGGATCCTGCCGCCTATTACTCTGTTTTGAGCCGCGCAGGCCCAGGTTCACGCGATCCCTAGTGTGCAGCATGTTGTATATCTTTCCGATTACCTACTACAATAATAAGCGAAGCATAATATAATGCAGGGAATACAAAAGAAGAAAGGCGAAGAAATGGTTCTGGGAGCGTTAGTGGTGAAAGGTTGGCAAGAGGTCGCGAGCAAATGTTACGTCGTGCAGGTGCCATATCGTACCTTGCTGGCGTTGTCACCATTGTCGTAGCTGACGTCCTGTGTAAATCGGCAGGACGCGACCACAGAAATGGAGACATCAAAGGCGGAAAGACCTTCGTCAGGCAAATAAAACCAGGTACAAAGTGTGCTCCCTTTTTACACAAAGTGTAGTCTCTGAGCCGCTGCCCGCCAAAGCACCGACATTACTACCAGCACCGTTCTAACGGCAGGGACAGGACCCCATAAAGCCGTCATAGTATCTATATAGGCCTCACTGAAGCAAGCACGACGGCTGACTTGTACGTTTCTCATACGGTTCCTCTGTACGGTGTTTCGCCCACATATGTCTGTCCGTCTGTCGGAGTCTGTATGTGTGAATGTCCGTCTGTAACAACGGGTGAACAAGAGGAGCATGGCGCTAGTTGAACCCCTTGTAGGGGGTCAAAGACGCATGAAAAATAGCCCCTTACACACACTCCAAACAGCTCTTTTCACCTTGTGTGTCTCTGTGCCTGTGTGGATGTCTGTGTATAGGTATATCTATGCTGGACCGGGAGGTCTCATACCATCGTCATTGCTTCCTCCTTACCTTACCGGCACGCCAGCTCCATTTTGAAACTTCTACGTCAATTTGACTTTTCGCTTTTCCTGCAGTTGGTTTCCCGAATTACGATCGAACTTGCTTGGCTCGTTGGTCGGGTGATCTTCGACATCGCGGCGCATTCCCGAAAAGAAAAGCCAGGTGGTGAACATAGCAAGAGTAGGAACTGTTTTCAAGACTAATTCACAAATATTGATTAGGAACATGAAAGCTAAAGTTCTCGAAAGTTGAGAAAAAAACCTATAGTACTCATTAATAAATGGGCTAAAAGTATAATAATGATAATCATTACAATAATCATCATCATAAAATGCCTCTGAATTTTTTGTTATTATATGAATACAATTCGGGAATTCGCACCCCCTGCTTATGAATCTATGCTATTTATACTAAATAATTACATACCATGCAGACAGTTATCTTGTCAAACAATTGCGTATTTCTTGGCGTACGCGAGCCTTCCAATACCAATGGCTAGAAGAAACCGCTGATAAGCCGATACTGGAAATCCTTAGTACATAAAATGATTGTTTCGTATGCTTCGTTTCTTCTCAGGTGCACAAACATTGCCGATGCTATGGATAACACCTCGAAAAGTGTCCATTAATGCATAATTCGAATTTGATCGACGGGGCGTTGACCCAAAGGATTATCCGTTTTTCCATAGCGGCCCTCCGAATCTGCATGTTCCTCGAAATTCATCTCGTACAAAACGTGATAAAAATCAGCATCCTGATTGTCGTTAAAGCGATAAGAAGGCGTTCGCCATGGCACAATAGCGTCATCTAGTTTTTCATATTCAAAAGCGTTGAACCGGTGATCATTCCCTGCCCTGTACATCTTGTCCGCGTTACGATCCAGGGCTCGGTGAGATCCAGTCAAAAGTGATCAACAAATGCCTATCAGCCTACGTTATATCTGCATGTGTCCCTTCTTGCCGTCCTGTCGACACGAAGTCGTGTTTAACGTCTTTCCTTCGGGTGGAGGCAGCGAAACTAAAGAGAAAAATTTGATGGAAGTGTGATTTTGCACCCTGTCTTTATGCTAACGGACTAGCTTGTAAGTGCGTTTTGAAGATGGCCGGTCCTTTTGCTTCGCTTCATTTACGGGTCATTGCACATTCTATCCGCACCATCCTTACGGAGGAATAGTCGCAATCATGCAACTAGTCGAAAGACTGACAGGGAAGTGGGATAGGATTAGCCGCTTCAGGCACCAGAGCTGCAGGGAAAAGGATGCATTCTCATTTAGAATCAGTGACATAAGACAAGCTTCATCAGAAAAAACGCATGCAAGGACTGCGTATATAAACACAGTCTGAGCTCTTCAAACGCCCCCTGTCTCGAAACGCTTCTGCGCTGCGCGTTTTTTTGTTGTCTGAAAATATGAGTGACGTTTATCTCGCATTTCCTATTACACTCGTTTGTACGTCGCGGGTCGGCAGACAAACGTCAAAACCAAAGAGCCATAAAACTGAAGATACTTTATTGTTTATTGATATTTACTGATAAAGCAAATCCATTAATTTTGCAGTCGGCTGCCGCTGAAATTAAGACATAGGTTGGATTTTACTCGCCGTCCAGATAGATGCCTTTTTCGAGTACTGTCTAAATTAGATGTAACAACATTATAACGGGCGACGAGGCACACTGTGGGCAACCGCAGCCTAGTTTAACTTTCGTAATAGCGTCTGCATTTAACGATCCATCAGCTGGCTGAGCAGATGAACCGGAATCTGCAAGTGACTGACTCTCACAAGGTGTCAGCGGTTACATTTGAGTGCGGCTACTTTTATATATATATTACACTGTTTTAAAGATACTGTTCTATCGTGATCATCTGAGGGTAATCTACTCCTGATAAAAACATTATGAAGGCTGTACATCAATGTCGTTTATGTGAAGATACTGTACGAAGTCCAATTGAAACAGAGCTCATAGGCTAAATTTTTGAGGTGAGATAGATGAGCACTTTACAGGCCTAATAAATAACCTGATGTATTACTCGCATGTTGTACTATATCTCTTTAATCCCACATTGCAGGGTTAAAAAAAGAGGAACTGAAACGAAGAACTGCTATACATTCGTTCCTGTTACTACCTAAAAGTGCTCTTTGCGTTATCGCGTCGGATTGTCGCGGATTTATCATAAACGATACCAGCTTTCATTTAATAAAAATCACTATTTACGGTATTATCAATATTTTAGGTGTCGCTTTATATTGCTAATGGGACCCCATTAATATCACGCAGCAGAGATCCGTTGTCGGTTCAGCCTATGTCAAGGGAGCGTCGTTCCATAGAGGACGGTATACTGTATTATAAACAAATTATTTGACGAGCTTAGAGATACGGGACAAGCCTGCATCCATTTAACAAAAATTTTACACCATTGGTTTGTGATTTAAGCCATACTGAGCAATGTTAGTATCTATGAAAAAGATACTAGAGTGAGTAATACCACATTAGTAAGTAATAAGTACGATAGTTTGACATTATATATATACTTATCTGGACATTGTTAGAAGTACATTTTGTTTCAAGCCGAATATTAAAGTCGCCTGCAGAAAAACCGTGTTTGTAAAAACTTCACATTGCTATACTGCTACATTTTGAAAATATTTTAATATAACGAAATCTCTCGTTTGCGTTTTCAATGGCGCAATTTACTAGACAATGTAGTCAAATATGAATATCCTTTTGGATAATTTTTCTTCTAATAATTTTCTAAACTAAATTTCCGTTTTCTTATTTCGTAGACTTAAATTTAGCGTACTTTAGCTGAATTTGTTGCCAGATAGACAGACCCCTGATCCCGCTCGCAATATGTACTAAGCTATGCTTTCACATTGTCCGGTAACGATCATTTCACTGTCTCCAGGCCGACCTTTAAGTTCCAATGAAATAGCGACATGCGATCGGTCGTGAGAAAACTAGCGGATCATGCCCGCAATAGAGCGAGTTCGTCGTCCGGATCTAAGGTTATACGTGAAGTGGGCCTGGGATGCTGAAGGGAGAAAGAAAGGGAAAGCAGGTCAGTCAGCTGTCAGGTTCCTCGTTTTGGCATCGGTAGTTCGTTACGGTGCAAAGTAAACTTCGATGTTCACTCGTAAATATTTAACGTGAAAGGGGCAGCGAAGGATAGGGGAACAACACTGTATACGAGAGAAAGCGCACATTGCAGTGCTAGCTGCCTTCGAGCAACGTGCGTACTATTCCAGTACACTATTAGTCCCACTGATGGCTAAGCGGTAGCTCTATATCTTCATCGAAAGACGCATATCACCACCATCACTGCTACTACTACTACCGCTACGCCGAGAGACGACTTCGCATCGTTTCTATTGAACTGTTTCAGTTTGGCTACTCTGGTTGCCTTTATGTATTCCATTACATTTTGTCTTCCAGACTACTGAACGAAGCAACACCATTGCCGCCATTGGCTCCATGGGCATTTATTTATTCACCAGGTTGCCGCCACATACAGGAAATGCTGCGTTAGCTGACTGGGTCTCAATCAGTTACAGATGCGAAACGGAAGTTGGCCTATCTCAAGAGTAATTGGACGCACCTTTAGTTCTTTCTCATTGAACCGTCTACACGCTGGCGTAAGCTTACAGTATACATATAGTACTAATAGATTCGGCTTTAAAACTCACTTACCAATCGTATTACTAGTAACGATTGTGGCAGCACGGGGCGAAGCAGTAGCAACAGTGTGTGTGAGTCTAGATTTGAAACCGGGCGTAGATATAGTACGTTTTATGTCGGGGGTTAGCTACCTGAAACGTGAAGTAGTCCTACGAATAGCACTAATAAGCCAAACCATTCTTCTTTAAAATCATTCACAATCTTGAAGCGTATTATCTAGTCATCAACAGTAACTTCGTATCGAATTATACAATATGTCAAAATGATCGATATAATACCGTGTCACTGTTCTATCCGTAGGACGATCTACGTGTGAACACAGGTAGAATGCTGTGACTGTCGACTATCTCCCAAGCCGACACATTTATCTGTCGAAGCACCTTCCTGAAGGCAATTCTCCGTATTTGTACCGCTGCTTCCAACTGCCGCAGTAGACAGCGAAGTGACTGCATAAGGGACTGTTTACTGGCACCCTCTAGCTCTATAGGCTCCTCTGCCAGCGCTACGTGAGTTGTCGCCCCAGCGTGGGCAAACGGATTCGAGCTTCAAAGTCGAGGCACGAAAACTGCCACCCATAAGCAGTTGTGCACTGCAGCCGGCAGTCAGGCTCCACTAACGTTTCTGTGGCGGGCTCGCCCTAATGCTCCTCGTTCGTATGGAGCCCGGAGAGATGCCCATCGTTGAGGGCTCAAACGCAATAGACGCTAGTCTCCTTCTAGCCTCTTGTCCGACGCCTGCGCATCCCACCGATACTGTCGCACCTACACGACGAAATAGCATAAATTGGACTTTCCCACCTCCTTACTAGTTGGCTTCTTTTCTTGATTCTTGTGTTTCGTCCTAATCTTTTCCTTGTCCGTTGTTGTCAAGGCATCAAAGGAACGGCGCGTGTACTTGATATTTTTTGGCTGGCTTAAATTCCGGCTACGAACTTTTGCTCTGACTGCTTCGTTCGTTGCCGTTTGGTCCCTAGCAATACCCTAACACGAGCACTATCACCACAATTGTCACTAACACCCAGTTCCCAATGAGTTCCTTCCAAGAGGTACTCCCTCCGGAACTCTTCGATCGCCTCTCTAAACCACCCTGCAGTGCTTCCCCCGCAGAGCTTTTGTGTCTACCAACCAGCTTTTCTATCGTCTGCTGCTAGCGTTTCATTGTTGAGGCAGGCGGAACGAAATAGTATTGGAAACGAGGTGAGGGTATCACTTCGTCCTTCGCTATCTTTTTATTCCCTAGGCACGAACGCAGACACTAGGGAACCATGCGAGCGCATGTATACACACATCCACTTATGCACACTAGTTATAGGTAACCGTAGAATAAGAAGGGCAAAGGGTAAACGAATAAAAACGACGGATCCTACCTTCGGGAAGTGTAATTTTGATTCCTATAACAACTCGGTTAGGAAAAGAGACATGAACAAGAACGGAGGGCCACAAGTTGTTTATTAAATACCTATAATTAATACAGACATACATAGCATTCGTTGTTACGAGTAAATTCATATAGCATAGGCCATGTTATCAGAGCAATTACGCAGAAGGATGGTGGTCGATAAAAATAGTAGATCTGGCTAAGAATTATAGTTCGGAAGAAATTACACAAAAAACAAAACTTGTCATTTTCATTATGAGTACATATACAACGTTTGCTTGGCGCTTTATAGGTAAGAACGTTTGTAGAACCGCGCGAAATTATTACTTCAGTACTCCGTTAACCGATATGTGCGTTTTGTTATTGAGGGTCCACGGCTACATACATCTACTATTTCTTAAAAAAGTTCTCATACACGTCCTTTCAGTTGATCAGTGAAGTCAATAACAGAGATTGAGCGGCACCTTTGGGCCGCTGAGTGATGCAATTTTCACTTGTTGATGTTAAAGGACTGAGTATGCAGGAAGTTGAAGTTACATTAGATTTTGTGTAAGCAGCTGTGTTGTCAGCATATGATTCATCCTTACCGCTTTAAGTGTTTACGCTATTGATAACGATGATGACGACACTGAAGAACGAGGTGATCGCGGAGATGGTGATCTATGCTACTTTATACCGACAGCAATTGAATAAATGTTTCATAATTGCTCAGCCGATTGAGGGAAAGGGCGACGGCAAGATGGTGGCAGGGCCAATGCGGACGCAAATCTCAAATATCGTCTTCCAATATTTGTAGCTGATGTGTATCCGGTATTGCAAACATTCTCTGGAGTTGGTGTCCTCTTTCTCCTGTAGAGACGTAACAGGCCAGAGCGTAGATGAAGTGTCAATATCCGATCATCGGGTGAGACTGCCAGGAAAGTGGGAGGACGTGAAAAAACTCGACGAACGGAACAATAAACACATGGCGAAAAAAAGGAAACTGATGGGGGACAAGAACTGATCGAGGCGAGCTCTGAACAAAAAGATAGAAAGAAATTAAGTAGATTTCATTACCTTTGACACGACGGAAGGGGTAGTGCGGTGGGAGGTTCGCGCTGGGCTTTGCTTATGTTTTTCTCCAGAACGCTCATTTCCATATTGTCTGCACAGATGAATCTGCACAGAATGAAGACACAAAAAAGGCAATGGAATCGGTTTTTCGGATCGTTTGCCTTCTACTTACTCAGGGCTCATCTTCTGCGCGCACTTGTACTTTACGTGTTCTGGCGAACCAATTTTCTTCTGATTATAGTTCTAATAAGTCAATTTATAGACAGCCTTGTGACAAATTTTACCCTTTAGTACAAAAGTCTATAGCTAGACGTAAATATTAGACCACAAAGCTATTTTTGCTGTTTCAGATAAATGAGAAATAAAAATGTCATACGGTTGTTTAACCACTACGCCGAGTGGCGCTAAACACCTATATCTGTGCAAAAAACCATCATGTAGCGAGGATCAGCATTTTCTAGCACTGTTTTCAGAACAACTCAGCTCATGATGGTATAACAACCACACAGTTAAATCATTTCAAGGTTTTTATTTCATTGAGTTGATTAGTTGAAATTGAGTACGTTTTTTGGCTCTCGTTAATAAAAACACCCTAAATATGTTTTTAATGAATTGTTCATTTATCATCAATCAGTATGCCAAATGTCTTACTTGGTACAAGAAACCTTATCTTACGCAAATGATTCTCCGCTACGGCGGATGTGATAGAAGCCTTGCTTGTTTTTGCAATAGCCATAATTCAAGCAGTATATCTCACCTGCGTTGAGAATAATGAGGGGAACACGAAATCAGGGGACTACTTGGCTCCTGCGTCTATTGGATACCAGGTTGTCCGTCCATATAAATAGACCTATATATTGAGCTTCTTAGCTAACGTGTGTTAGCTAACCCCGTCTGTACAAAGGTTCCATTCCGGCCCGATTATTCAGGCAGAAACGTCCCTGTCTTCTATGAAATATTATGTATACGTGTTACCTTTAGGATGCTCTTAATAGATTGGTTCCTAAAGACTTTACAGACGTCTCGAGTTTTTTTAAACACCTCAGTAAGCACCGTGTTTTCTAAAGCCTATGTGCGATAAAGACGGGTTCGGAGAATGCGGCTCTACAGCTAAAAATGCATTGGTATGAATGTGTATATATATATATATATATAAGGATCATGTTCCCTTTAAATTTGTTTAATTGAGATTACACCATGGGGCTCATTGTCCGATCAGCAATAAATTAGGTAAAAAAAAAAACTGTTATTCAGTGGTGATGAGTCCGAGGGTGTACACTTTGTGCGCTTGCCAAATACAACAAGCACAAATAGTTACAAAGCTATTTTATGCAATGTTCATGCACCTTTAGCCGTTATTTTTTACATACGTCATAGTTTATAAAGTAATACGGTTGTGCTCGTATACGAATTTAGAGGTCTCGTAATCTCTTCTTAAGAATTCTTCTGTAATTTGTTTTTTACCCATCCGACGTTAAAGTTAGAATCTTGCAAATAACTAGATAATAACTCAGCTACACTCCTCAAAATCAAAGAGAATGATGGATCATAATGATAAATATGCTACCATATTACAACTTCATTTAATATTGCGAGTTTTTAACGAGGATTTTCCTTATTTAGCCATTATGTGGTTTGATGCATCTTCAAGACAGGATAACGTATCCATGCTGAAGGTAACGATTTTCTCTTCTTTTCTCAAACTTTTACTTAATTTCATAGACTCCGTTCACTACTTGAGAATAGTTCATGCTCCATAGAGCGCGTAAGATCAAAATGGGTGTGAGTCCTTTTATGGAATCTAAGAAAAACGTTTGTGTCAAATAGAATAAGGATTTGCTTTTCGTTAATAATAAGTAAAACATTTTTGTATGTAGGCCTTATCGTCCTAACTCGGTAAACAACGCTCATAGATTCTTTACAGGCAAATGGCATTTGTTCAACTGTTCATACACATTTTCTGTAAATCACTCGCGTATGGACGAGTCACCTTTTTTCATACAGGCTCCATTTTGTTCACTGAGGCTAGAGTTTTCGTACTCTTAGTTTAGAAAAAGACATGACGGCACAGTTTTGACCGGACCTGCTATCGTGGTGTTTCTAGCAAAAAAATTGCACCCTCGACATTTACTTTTCACCCGTCGAAATCAAGGGGCTGCCAAAACATACTCGGGATATTTGTGCCGTATGCAACGAAGGCTCCAAAACAGAGAACACTGCTCGAAGAGGTTTGTTAAGTTTAAAGAGGAGTCCTTGGGCTTGAAAAATATACTTGACCCCAGTTGACAATTTCTTAAAACCGAAGAAAGTCCGAGAAACTCTAGACCGTCGCCGGGAGTCATGGATGCATGAAATTTTTATCAGAAATTAGAAGCCTGAATGCGCCATAGATTGGGTGGGCCTTAGAAAAAAGACTTCCTTCTGATCATCAACATCTCGTCCGGCACCGGCCAATACACAAACATAATCAGAAATTACTAAATTCTAAAATGGCCACTAGTGACGAGTAGTTCCTCCACACTGACATAAGGCGACGAAAGAAATAGGTACCTTTGAGAGGTACGCCTAAACTCGAATTTGTATATATATATATATATATATATATATATATATATATATATATATATATATATATATATATGTATATCTTACACAGGATCTGTATATGGCCTAGTTGTATCGATTGAATGGGTCTATGCGATAGAAAAGGTAATGTACACAAAACAGAGCTATCGTTCTCTGCGACAATTCCAAGTTAGACATGGCTTACAACAACATGAGTAGGAACCCTGTTGCATCCACCTCCATATTTTCTGTATAAGCATTATTTCCTGTTCCAATGTTCGGCAAAAAAAATTCGTAAATTTGTAGTAAAGTGGGCTTTAAAGACTGAACATCGATGTGAGAATGAAATAATAATTTATTTGAGGGATAGAGACCGTTGTGGAGAGTGACAATGAATATGTAACTTAATTTGTTTACAGAATTCGGAAAGAGCGTTCGTATTTACCTTATGATCTAATATGTAGGATGCATAGCTAGCCAGGCGCATAATAGTAATGCGTACTGACAACTCGTCACAACCCAAAACGTCCCTTTTCTTTACGTGTGTCAAAGAATACCTGACCACCATAGAAATCCGCGTGACACAATTTTCTTGGTGTGTATGGTCTTTTTATCTGCTGTAATTACCACCTATGAGCGCCCACCCATTCGAGCAAGCAGCTCGGATCCAGGCCAATGTGTTGAGAGACCTCTATCACGTCCTCCCACTGACTGATCTCGCCTTGTCCTATTCTTGCCGGTAATGTCCTATCTATTAGTGAACTCACAGGCAACCGGGAATATTCGAGGGTTATTTGAATTTCGTCGGAGTTCATTAGCGAAAGGGCGCTCTGAACAGGGAAGCAGGTAGCCTATAGAGTAGGTTTCCATAGTTAAGGCAATGCATGCGGTAAAACGTTCCTGGCAGAAAAAGCATGAGCAGAGCTAAGTCTCAAGGTTCTGTTATTGTAGTATGTAAGTCTATATTAATAATAGTAATAATAGTAAGGTCTATATTATTACCATTTAGGAAGATACAGTTTACCTTTATTTATTTATATCGTAGTCTAAGGTAAGTCATAATTGGGATGCAGAAGAGATATTCATACCACAATGACACATGCCTATTTGCATGAACTAGAAGATAGACCAAGTTGAATACAGGGAGTAGACTAGGTAACTTTGTTCGATGTCAAACAGTAGCAACACATTACCATAAATAAGTTGTGCCTTTTGTACTGAAAGTATTTTCGTAACTA